TGGTACCAAAGAATTGGTAGGAGGTATAATAACCAAGAGAAACAAAAGATTAATGAGCTTGAGGGGGTTGAAGACTCAACAAGATTGAATAATCAAGCTTGGAAGGTAATGTCTTTCACTGAAATAGAGACAAGGGGGTGATTGTACAGGTAGGGGAGCAGGCAGGAGATGATGAACTCAGTCTTGGACTTGTTGAATCTCAGGTACTGGTGACATACTTTAGATTTTTAGAAGTATGGGTTTAAGCTGGAATTAGGTAGAGGCCGAAGGAGAAATGAGAAGGTTGAAGAGTAGAGCTGAGTTGGATCCTTGGGAAAGGGTGAGAAGGAATAAAGCCAAGTTGGGTGTGGGTAGGGAGCATTGATCACTGCGTCAGGGCTACAGTAGGTACCCTGTGTGCCCTGCACACACGTAGGACCCAATTGGGAATGGTATAGACGGGAAGAGAGGATAACTGTGTTGTCTGCACTTATTGTTCCAGGGGCCTGTGGCGAAAGAACTGAGTGGATTGCCATCTGGACCCTCTGCTGGATCAGGTCCTCCACCTCCCCCACCAGGCCCACCTCCCCCCCCAATGCCTACGAGTTCAGGCTCAGATGACTCTGCTTCACGCTCAGCCCTGTTTGCACAGATTAACCAGGGGGAGAGCATCACACATGGTAAGTGACTACTTTGGTAAGAAGGGTTAGTACATTAAGTTGTTTGGGCCAGACCTTACCAACTAGAGACTGGACAATCTGTAAACCAGAACCCTCTGGCTTGTGTGTGGGAGAATTAATTTGGGAGTCACATTCCTTCTAGTTGCCCAAAGGGACAGCAAAGGTGGCTTAAATGGATATTGAAAATGGGTGATTATAGTTGAGGGAAGCCCTCTGCCCCATCGGAAAGTGACTTAATATTAAGTGGCATATATGGAGTACCCTGTTGTGCCAAGGCACATGCCAGCAGTTTTCCCCAGATCTTTTTCCCTGTTTCTTCATCGTCTCTTTGGGACATCATCGTGTTGGGGGTTAACTTCCTCAGAGGATGTGTAATCATCACATGGAAAATTTGCATAAGAATTACCTAATGTTGGTATAGAGAAAGTAGACACCCTATACACAGGAGGGGCGGAAGGCTACATTATACAGCCCTCTTTTAGAAATCTACCTATAAAAAGATCTAAAAGAATAAGTTTTATAGTGTTGTTTATAGTACTAGCTAAAAATGGTGTGATAACCTAAATATCCAACAGTAAGAGAAATGGTTAACTGCAGTATGTCCTCTTGATGACTATGCAGCTGTTAAATCTTTTTCTACAGTGAACTAAGCAGCATTTAAGAAAAATCTATTTAAACTACAACCACAAGGAGTGGTGGAGCTAAAAAGGCCACTCAGTGTTGGTTATATAGATTGGGTCACGTTCAAGAGCAAGGAGTGTGTCAGCCTGCTGAGAGTGATTATGGAATCTTTTCCTTAAAAAAACAAAAAACCCCGATATTTTTAGAAACTATAGGTTAACATGAGAAAATTTTTATTAAGTGTTAGCTGGTTAAACCAAATATAACAGTGTGTATGGCTTTAACCAAATAAAAAACAACTATCACTAGAAAAAATATTGGAGCATTTCAAATGCTAACACTGATTTGGGTTTGCTGTGGGTAAGGTTTTTTTCTTTTACAAATTTTCTTTATTATTACATCTTTTTCTTCCTCTGTTGCTTTAAAAACTATATACATATTTTGTGAGTATATATTTGGTATGTGTCTTTCTAGATCTTTTCCTGTGGATTTATATTCCCATCCCCGCCCCCACATATGCCATGTTTTATTTTTTTGAATGGAACTATGTAAGTTAACCTTATGGTAGAAGAGAAATTATAAAAGTGCTTCTCCAAAACTGCTTGTGAGAGAACATCTCAAAGGCTCTGGATTTTGGCTTTGAATTTTTTTGTTAAGGATCAGTCTAACTTCTGATAGCAGAAGTTGGTTATTGCCTCAGCCCAAAGCCCTGGTCTGAAGGACAGGAACAAGGCAGCTGTTGTTCTCGCAGCCCTGAAACATGTATCCGATGACATGAAGACTCACAAGAACCCTGCCCTGAAGGCTCAGAGCGGTCCAGTGCGAAGTGGCCCCAAACCATTCTCTGCACCTAAACCAGGAGTCAGTCCATCCCCCAAACCAGCCACGAAGAAGGAGCCACCTGTACTTGAACTGGAGGGCAAGAAGTGGAGAGTGGTGAGTTAATAATGGCAGAACTCGGGGAACAAGGAGTGGGGACGGCGGGTTAAATGGAGCACAGCCAAATGAATGTAGGGTTCTGGTTTAGATTGCAAAAATGACAGTTTGGGATAGCCTGTTTGGGGGTAGTATGTGCTTAGTGATGAGATTCCTGAAAGGTGTATCTCTTTAACAGGAAAATCAAGAGAATGTTTCCAACCTGGTGATCGATGACACAGAGCTGAAACAGGTGGCTTACATATACAAGTGTGTCAACACAACATTGCACATCAAGGGTAAAATTAACTCCATTACAGTAGGTGAGTTCTTATTGTCCTAGGCAGGCTCTGTTCTAGAACCTAAGAGGGCTGGAACCATACCTACCCTATTCCTAAAGATTCTTAAATATGTTATTTTCCTTTAAAGTTACACTGTTGACCTCCCTTTCTTCTTCTAGATAACTGTAAGAAACTTGGTCTGGTATTCGATGACGTGGTGGGCATTGTGGAGATAATCAATAGTAGGGATGTCAAAGTTCAGGTAACTTGATATCTTGGCTCCTTCCCTTGATCCCTGAGGAATTAATTGAAAGCGACACAGCCGACCCACAGATGTTGCTCTGGTGGGAATCTGATTCTACAAAGTCTGTAAGCTGAGCTGCTTTGGATGTGGCAGGAGAGGAGCTGGCCTTTAGCGTGAGCTCTTTCCAGCACCCATCCCATCCTGCCCCGAGTATCCAGTATCTATTGTGCACCTGTGAGCTTTTGAGATGCAGTTGCTGACTCAACGTGAAACATTGAAAGCTTTTCCTGCAAGTTACTGTTGTTCTCCCAGATGCTGGGACTTAGTGTTCTTGGTGTTCTCTGCAGGTAATGGGTAAAGTGCCAACCATTTCCATCAACAAAACAGATGGCTGCCACGTTTACCTGAGCAAGAATTCGCTGGAGTGTGAGATAGTCAGTGCCAAATCTTCTGAGATGAATATCCTTGTTCCTACAGAAGGCGGTGACTTTGTAAGTGTCTTGATCTCTTTAGTAGTCTGATCCCAAAGCAGAAGGGACTGAAGATTGTCTGCATTGAGTGGGTCGAACCCAGTGATGCATGCCTCAAGCACACAGAAGCAGAGGGGGGTTCCCGCCTTTTTTAGGTCGAGCAGATGCTCAGGGTAGTAAAAAGGTACAGAGACTGAGTCACAGCACCCTGTTGAGCTGGTGCCATGAAGCTATACACACTCTCATCTACACCTCATAGGCTTAACAGTATGTCCAGGATCACTGGTCAGTGAACAGTAGGACACAGATTCAAACCTACATCTGTCTGGCTTTGGGGCTGTTCTCATTCCTACACTGCAGTCCTCCTTCGTTTTGTCAGTGGTTAGGGAGGTGGTAGAAGATGGGGTGCTACCAGTTACATAGCCATGTCTTTTCAGGTGGGTTCAGTTTCTCTCTCACTATGTCCTACCTGCTTTCAGAGTTTAGTGGAAGCAAGCACTGGAAAAGTGTAAAATTTAACCCCAACTTATTTTTTTAGCTCAGATTTACATCTGTTGTTTCTTTATTTACAGAATGAGTTCCCCGTCCCTGAGCAATTCAAGACCCTATGGAACGGGCAGAAGTTGGTCACCACAGTGACAGAAATAGCCGGATAAGCGAAGTGCCACTGGGTTCTTTGCCCTCTCCCTCACACCATGGGATAAATCTGTATCAAGACGGTTCTTTTCTAGATTTCCTCTACCTTTCTGCTCTTAAACTGCTTCTCTGCTTTGAGAAGCACAGCTACCTGCCTTCACTGAAATATACCTCAGGCTGAGATTTGGGGTGGGATAGCAGGTCAGTTGATCTTCTGCAGGAAGGTACAGCTTTTCCATATCAGCTCAACTGCACTGCCAGTCCATTCTTAAGGAACTTCAGACCGGGCGGGACTGGTGTGTTTTAGCTTTCAGCCTTTGACCAACAAACAGTCTTTGGGAAGAATAAAGCGGTCCCCAGGAATTAACAGCTCAGAAAGTTCACACAAGTCAATCTTTTCCTAACAATGAACATGAAGGTACCAGAAGCTGGTGTGATTCCAGCTGATTCTTCTAACCAGACTAATTTTTCACTGTTGACAAGTGAGGCAAGGGTTGCACTGGCCCAAAGGCTGAAGTTTGGCCATCTAGCTAGCATTCCAAGCAACATTGTTTCCTATAGCATTCCTTTGCTTCTGCACTCCATCCTGGCTCTGCCTGAACCTAAGATCGTAGGTTCTCCTGTATCAGCTGCTGTGGCAATGCCCTGTACCCAGACCAGTTAAAGAAGTCTTGGACCCTTTTTTTTCTCTGGGATCCTTGCCCAGCACCTTCCACAGAGATGACTTAAAAAAAAACAAACACACCATTCCAAGGAATCTGGCATTCCTTCCTCCTCCCATGCTAGGTGCCTGTCATCCATCTGCACTGTTTCCTTTGCCCTGTTATGCTCAACAGCTTTTGGCTTCTGTCCAGGCACCTGAACAAAGGACTAAAATCACCACTGCAGACTGCTTTTAGGTCTTATGTAAGAATCTTGCACAGCATTGCTAATGTAAATTTCAGTTTTTCCCTCTAGGACAAACACTTACCAAAATATGCAACATTTTTTTGGTGGGAAGAGAGATTGTCCTGTGACTTCTACCCATTTCCTGAGGCCTGTGGAAATAAACCTTTATGTACTTAAAGTTATACAGAAAATAGAATAAAATTAATACCAAACTTGCTTAGTATTTATGTGTAATATTTGCTGTACAGAGATGTAAGAATATTGAAAAGAAAAATGACTCCAAGGGTAAGAAGCTACTCTTTATTTTAGACAAACTCATACAATTCTTTTAACATCACTCCACTTCTTGCCCTTAAGCCTCATATTTTTTTAGTTGAAAAATAAGGCTTGAGAGAGGTGAAGGAAAAATCATAAAGGGTTGACTTGACAGCACTAACAAGGTACTTCCTCATGTGTAGCTAATCATTTCCCCAAACTGGCATTCCACAGAAGTCTCCCAAAACGATGATAGGTTTCCACAGGCGGGGCAGTGGGGGCTAAGAAGTCCATACTCAAAGTGTGGGAAATGGTAGATTATGGTTAGTTTACCATAACAGGAATTCTGAGAGTCCTTAATATTCTAATGTGAGTTGATCTCCAAGAGGAGAAAGGGGGTATCCAATATTCCCCAAGCTTTCTGAGCAAGAACACACAAACAACTTTGGAGTGTACTGGTAAATATTTTTTGCAATGGAATTTAGAAAGCCTGATCTCCATACTTTTCCTCCCATTCTCTGCTAATGCCAGCAACAGTGACTCAAATCCAGACCACTAGTCATACTAAAGGACAGGCTAATCAAGGATGGAATGGAAAGAACCAGCTGACTCCTCGTTTTTCATTCCCATTTCTAAATTTTTCTTAACACCTCCCCCCCTCATCTAAGTTAAGCAATATATACACTTCCTTCCTTAAGCAATCCAATTGTGTATTACTTCCCTCCTTTTATGAGAGAGCAACTAATTCACTACCTGAGGAGACAAAGAATGCTATCAAAGGAAGATGGTGGGCTAGCGGAATTTGTCTAATTGCTAAAACAGCACAGAAGGCAACATAGAGAGGAGGGCAGTCTCAGACTTTGCAGAAACATCCAAGCAATACTTTTCCAAGCACTGGTTAAATTTCTACCAGCAAAATGGAAAGCATTTATAGGGATGCCTCAGGCCGGGTATTGTTGGCCTTCACTTGGCTTGAAATGTGGCTCGATTTTCCTGAGAAAGGTGTTTGCCCTTAGAATCCAGCTCATTGTTTTAGTTCAGTCTTTTCTGGGCCTGGGCACAGTTCTGGCACTGACCTGCAGCAGACTGTTTCCTAAGACAGCTTGACCACATCGAATGATTGTAAAACAATCTCCGTGGTTATTAACTAATTAAACTTGCATTCAATACCATATGCTGATAGGATAAGGCAAAGGATAAGATTTGGATCTTGGATCTTTTGGAGCAGGGCATGTTAGATGATGACTAGGGAGAAGGATTAGTTGCAAGCTGGATCTGAGCTCAGTCTTGGGCATAAAGGGAACGGTCTTCCACTGGTTTGGAAGTGCTGGGGAGTTCCCTGAGCTCTGGTGCAAATTGCAAGGGTTTCATTTAAGGAAGGGTATGATGTGGGTATAAAACCATTCTTCAGACAGTTGAAGATGGTCCCCTTCTAGAGCCAGGAACACTAGCTGCCCTGCATTGTCCATTTCCTTTAGCCCCAGGCGGTCCTGCAGAGAGAAAGGCCATAATTAGTCAAGAGGCTTAATGAAAAGTTTTAGAGTAAAATAATAAAGAAATAGAATGTTAACTTGAGATACAAAGGTCTGACAATTAAGTTTGCAAACTTGTTGCAATAATGTTACTAACCTTTTTTAATATCAGAGGGATTATTCATTTTGAATTTGTACCAACTAGACAAACAGTTAACCAACTATTTGGAAGTGCTGAAAGGCTGTGTGAAAAGTTTAGACCACCTGACCTTTTCACCAACAATCCATGGCTCTTGCATCACAACAATGCACCAGCTCACACGGCACTGTCTATGAGGGTGTTTTTAGCCTGTAAACTAACTGTAAACAAGTAACCCTCCCTACTCACCTGATCTGGCACCCAATTATTTCTTTACCCGAAGTTAAAGGAAATGTTGAAAGGAAGACATTTTGATGACATTCAGGACATCAAGGGTAATACGATGACAGCTCTGATGGTCATTCCAGAAAGAGTTCCAAAATTGCTTTCTTTGAAGGGTGGACTAGACGCTGGTGTTGGTGCATAGCTTCCCAAAGGGAGTACTTCGAAGGTGACCATAGTGATATTCAGCAATGAGGTAAGCAGCACTTTAGGATGAGTTCACGAACTTAATTGTCAAACATAGTAGATTCTCAAAATGAAATCTTTTCCCTCAGAATTAAGGTGTATTGTCAAAAATGCCAGAAAGAATATCTCCTTCCATTTTTTTCCCCCTAAGCCAGCGGTTCTCAACCTTCCTAATGCCACGACCCTTTAATACAGTTCATGTTGTGGTGACTCCCAACCATAAAATTATTTTTGTTGCTACTCTATAACTGTAATTTTGCTGTTATGAATCGTAATGTAAATACCTTTTTGTTTTCTGATGGTCTTAGGCGACCCCTGTGAAAGGGTCGTTCAACCCCCAAAGGGGTCGCGACCCACAGGTTGAGAACCGCTGCCCTAAGCATTAAAAATATATGCAGTTGAGATATTCTATGCAGTGTTAAACATTTTGCTCTCTGAAGTTTCCCAAAGCTTCTGGGGGGCAATCCACGGACAAAATTGCCTCAAAATGTTGCTTAAGTGGAACTGAGCCAGACAGAACATGAGCTAGATAGCTTAAAACATATCCAACCCTTCAACAACAAACCTGGGACACCTGCATATTGTGCAGTTGAAAATGCCTGTGTGCCTCAGAACAAGTACGGCTGGGAAGAGGAGCAGTTATGACAGTGCCAGAATGTTGCTTCTGTGACTACCATCAGTTTGAGTTTCACCATAAGGAAGTTCTTAGTTGTAATTTCTAAAACTTAACAGCCCCTAGCTTCCCTTTCCTTTTACCTCACCCAAGCTGAGGCACCAAATGCAGGAGAAAAGCCAGGAGAGGAGACAACTGGCTTTGGAAATTTGAAGGAATTCTAGTAGAAGGCAATTGGTTCAGATGTAGCACTTGTGCATTTTGGGGACAGTGTCTCCAATATAAAATCTAAATTTAAAGTGTGGCACACTGGAGGTGGTGAAATGCTGCAACCTCTGAGAAATTACCTACTAAAAACAAAATTCACGACTCTTCCCATTCACTCTGCTATAGGCGGAGCTCTCCTTATCAGTACCTAATTTAAAAACAACTTCCACATCTACTGACGTCTTAAAGTAACACCCCTCTCTTCTATGTTTTCATGATGCATGGGGGCTTCTTGGATTTGTTCCAGTCTGCACATCGGCAAAGGAAGTCAGTTCTAAACCTTTTTATCAGAAGGAAGGAGTGAGAGATGATGTGTCCCTTGTGCATGCTTGAAAACCATGAGGTACAGGTCCTTCAACCTTCAGGTTTCTGTAAACCAGCACCTGCCAAGCTAGTGTGACAGCAGCCTAACCAGCCTCACCCATATCAGACATGAGCCACATGCCTCATTGGCACCTACAGCACTGGGATGTACAGGACAAGGTCTGTCACCAAAGAACCAGCAGCTTCCGGAGCCGGGAGCTGAAAAGGACAGTGCCTCTCGCCTCCCCATTACCTCTGTGTACAATGTGGTCTTCTGTAAGGGAATGGTTTCCTGGTCTTGGCCACTCCTGTAAAATCCAAACCACTGCAGGAAAGGAGGAAGAAATAAGCAGATCAGACACATGGCACATACTGCCAAATTAAGACTAGCTGGTAGCTAAGACTACCAACAAACTGAACATCATAAAGCTGTAGCAAGGAGGAAAAATAGAGTATGTCTTGACTCATCTCTTTTTAAGGGTGAATATTGAAGGATGAGTTAATCTTTCAAAGAGCTTTCCAATTTCCCAGAATTTCTGCTTCCTATAATTAATGAGCATCTACCCTATGAAAATCCTTGTGCCAAAATCCAGATATTCAAAGATGAATATATGTATACAGTCCCTGTTTTCAAGAAGTTCTAGTCTAATGCACAGAAACAACTAATTGTTTAGCATGGCGGGGGGGTCAGCAAACTTCTGTAAAGGCCAGATACAAAATACTTTTGGCTTTAAGAGCCACGTGGTGGCAACTACTCAATGCTGCCATTGTAATGAAAATGGAGCCACAAACAATATTTTTAAATGAGCATGGCTGTGTTCCAATGGAACTGTATTTGTGGACATGGAAATTTGAATTTCATATAATTTTCACATCAGCAAATTTTTTTTGTTTTGTATTGGGGAGTTAGGGGATGGAAACAGCACTGGGGAATTGGGGGAAGGGGAACAGACAAGTTGCTGTCCTTTTGTTCTTCAGTCTAGTTGTAGAGGACGTTGCTTCACTGGCCCAAGTTGGCACCATCATTGCACTCTTCCCTGGCGAGGCAGATCAGTCGCCGGCTTCTGGACGGCCGCTCACAGCGGCTGCTGGCCGCTCACGCTGGCTGCTGGCTACACATGGTAGCCCATGGCAATCCACTGCAGCAGGGGCTGCAGCCTACGCCCGTCGCCGGAGACTCCCGGCAGCCCAGCTCCAGGTTGAGCTGTTGTTCAGCATCTTAGCTGTAGAGGGCAGTGTCACTGGCCCTCATATGTGGGATCCAAACCAGGGCCCTCTGGTGTCCCAAGCCAGCTCTTAATCAATGCGCCACTTGGCCAGCCCCACATCAGAAAATTAAAAAAAATTTTTTCAACCACCTAAAAATGTAAAAGCCATTCTTAGTTCATGGGCCACATAAAAGCAGGTGGCAGGCTGGATCTGGCCCGCAAACCGTGTTTCTGCTAGCATGGCGTTGGTCTGACGTGGTCTGACATGATGCAATGAGTGTGCTAATACAGGCTGACTGATTCTACAGAAGAGGAAGCAAATTCTGCTTGGAGTAGGGACAGCATCCTGGATGGAGGAAGTAACTTGGGTTTGGCTTTGGCAGATGAATAGAAGCTTGTCAGATGGAGAAGCCTAGGGAAGGGTATTCTAGTAACTCAAAAGCAAAAGCAAATGCATATGCCAAGTGTGGGGCATTTCAAACAGTACAATATGGCTTGATCAGACAGTATGAAGTGGGTAGTGAAGGGAGATTAGGTTGGAGAGACAGGTTGAAGTCAGGTCAAGGCAGACCTTAAATGCCAGCCTTAGGGATTTATTGACTTTGGTCTGGAGGTTCTGAACCTTTTGTTGGGTCTCTTTGAAAATCTGATCAAAGTTATAGACCCTTCCTCAGAGAACGCATCTATACAATTCTGCATATAATTTCAGTTGGTGGGGGATTATAACCTTCAGTGTCCCACGTATAGGCCTCAGGTGAAGAACCCCTGCTCTACAAAAAGGGGGGTGGAAGGGACTGAAGGTTTTTCCCCCCAACAGGCAGCTGTATTTTAACGTCATTGAGTCCTGTGGTCTCCTGGCATGTTGTAGCCTGCCTAAGCAGTGTCTTACCTCAGAATCCACAGGGTCCACAACGGAATCATTGAGGAATTTCACCATCACAAACTTCTTCAGGGCCATCAGGTTCTTCTTGTAGGACTCATTGACACCCTGGAGGAAAGGCCAGCAGTAGTCAGGGACGTCACCATCAGGTTCCAGAAGGGGGATTAAAGCCTTTCGGTGCTCTGGTCTCCAGCCCAGGACCTCCCGTGTTTCTTCCCCATGGTACGGGTTGTTTTTCCAGCTTCCTGCCCAGAATAGACCTATACAGCCTTTTCTTACCATCCTGATTGACATTCCCACCCACCGTGGCAACCATGATGCCACCATGAATCTGTCAATGCACTCAACAGGCATTGTCACATAGGTTAAAGGTTTCTAGCCAGAGACAGCCAATGCAAAATAAGAAACTGCATATTCTGAGTGGTTTTGCTATACTATTCTGTTTTCCCCCCTTTCAAAAACATTTTTTTTTTTAACCTCCAGATGACTTGAGCCATCTAGTTGACCAGAATCTCCCAAACCATGCTCATGCCTTGGACATACTCGGTCCCCTCTGCAGTCTCTTCTAGGGAAATCTCTCTCCTGAGAAAATTTGACCCAAAAGTGACCCACCAAGGAAGGCTTCCCTCAGCAAAACAGCAGCTGTGAGGTTCCACGTAAGCCAGCCAGCAACCCACTGAGCTGACTGTGCTTCAAGCCTAGGACAAGGAAAGGACCTACAGGAAGAAGGCCAAATGGATTTCAGCCTCCCTAAAAGAAACTGAATCTCAGAAGCACTGGCTCCCCCCAAAAACCAGAACTTCTGTTTCCCAAGTTCTTCCTGGGATATTTTGGGTAAACAGCCGCTGCTGACCTGTTTCTAATGCCCCGAATGGAAAAGTGAATGTACAACTATGGTAGCCTGGGTTGGGTGCTTACTCTCTCCTGATTAATGTCTGCCAGGAAGATGCTGTGGTTGCGGTACATGTCCTCCTTTATGGGGTCGTGCCAGTATTCTGCTTGCACCAGGCTACAGGAAGAAAAAGGAATGATGGTGACCAAGCTGCAAATCAGCAGGCCTGGGGCATACCCCTGTGCGTAGGCTACCAAAAGACTCGGAAAGGACAAAAGGTCAGAGCCCTCAATCCCAGGCCTTGCCCTCTAATAGGGAAGACAAGACTATCCCCTACGAAACAGTTCATCACCCAGACACCTGAGGCGAGGATGTGCTATTTAACACCCTACTGAAAGTCCTAAAGCTGTAGGAAAAGGACTCATCAATATTGGTTCCCCTGTGGCACTGAGCTTTATCACCCTCGCCATGCCTCCAGGTCAGGGTGGCACGTGCTATCCCCTTCCATAACCCCGCCTCCTTCACCCTCCATTGCTTCCTACTCATCCTGGAAGACTCAGCTCAGTTCCCACCACCCCTGCTTCCTCTTCATCCATCTATCTCCTTTTCATCTAAGCCCTTCACTAAGCCCTTAACTTCTGGGATCTGACACCATTTCCAGGTAGGTAGTGTCAGAACTGAATTAAATTGTAAGATACCCAGCTGGTGTGGAAAGACTTGCTTGGTGGGGGAAACCCACCCCCCACACACATTTGGTGACCAGAAGTGAAGTGTCCTGTGTAGTAGCGTAAAAGTAAAGGAGACACACAAGAGACTCACAGAAGGGGAAGACTGGGCTTTTCAACACAAGGATGATCTCTGAGAGTTGTTTGTTATAATGAGAAACTGGAAATGCTGAAATGTTTGCAAAATGGGAATCAATAAATGGTGAGGTCATATAATAAAAATGCCATGCAGCAGTGAAGACGAATCAACTAGATGTATATGTAATAACATGTTTAGATTTCAAAAATACTGAGTGAAAAAATCATTTGTAGACTGAGATACACACAATAAGATGTCCATTACATAAAAATTTAAATATACAATATAACTATATATTGTTTATGGCTATGTACATATATAACACAATTTTTTTAACAGACAGAAAGGATATACTCAGAATTCTTTGACAGTGATTGTCACTATGGAGGGAAAGCAGAGAATGAGACCTGGGAGAAATATGAAGAAAAATTCAATTTTATCTGAAATGTTTCTGTTCTTAAAAATATTGGAGGCAAATATGGTAAAATATTAATTTTAGGTCCTAGGTACACAGTAGTTTGTTACTTTTCTTAACAGTTGAAAAGTATCTGAGGGAGCATGAGTGATTGACTCAGTACTTCCAGGAAAGGGAGGGGCAAGTTGAGAGCAGAGTGGGACAACTGAGCAAAAGCACTCTGAGCGCCATGGAGGGGGCGGGGGGCGGGTGCACAGGCCCTGCAAAGCACGGGGCAGGCAGGCAGGCTGGGAGCTGGGTACCAAGGAGGGCAAGTTGGGAGAGCAGAGCTGGCACGGGAAGACGAGAGGCCAAGGCCAGGGCGACACTGGGGTGGGGCGATGGCAGGGAGAAAACGAGGAAGGAGAAATCAGGAAGGGCTGCCAGCATCTCAAAGGGGAACTAGAGGGCATATTTCACATCCAGAAGCTGTTACACTCACCAGTAATTCATTGCCCCCACCGTGCCTGGCCAGGGCCTGGTGCCTGAAAAACACTTCCTCACTGCTTAGTCGGGGTATTAGGATATTGCTAAAGTTAAATGCTCTGAACAGGGTAGAAGACATCTTTTGGGGTCTCTGCCTAAATCAAAACCATTCTCCCTCGAATGGGAACTGCACCCTTCCTACCCTCACCAGTTATAAGGTGGGTATGGTTGGTACCATGTGGTCCCACTTCTCTGGCCATAGCTAATGAGAGCAAGTGAGAGCCTTATCTGAGCTGGGGCAGGGTCCCTTCTCTAAAAATGTGAATTGTGACAGAGATTCTAGCCTCAGACAGAGATAATCTAAACAGAGAAGATAAAACTCTTGTAAGCTGTGCAAGGCCACCTTTCACCATGTAGATAACAGGAGAGGCTGGTCTGCATGGAGAGAAAAAAGAAGCAGTGACACAGAGTGAGAAGCAATGACAACCGTTGGAGAAAGACTGTGTTGGCTCTTGATGGCTCTCACTTTTTGATTCTAGTCTCTCTCAGGCTTTGGGTACCGAATTATGAATTTCTTTTTTTTTTTTTTAGCTGAGCCATCTTGCCACCTGTTGGCAGCTCAGCGGCAGCTCAGCTCGGGCCGGGAATCGAACTGCTGTTGCTCAGAACTCAAACCCTTGAGCGAGCTCTTAACCAACTGAGCCACTCAGCCGGCCCTATGAATTTCTTTTGACATTTACTTTGGCATGATTTGGTTTTGTTTCTTGCAACCAGAATCCTCCCTAATACAAAGGCAACCTAGAGCAACATGACCAAGAGAAAACGATTTTCCTTTTGTCACGTTAAGTTCTTACCATCTCCCTTCCCACTACTCTACTTGGACTACTTGCCTTGTTACATCTCATGGTGGCCATGTGTTAAAATGAGAGTTTACAAAGAAACTTAAAAAAAGAAAAAAGCAAATAACTCTATAAAATCAGAAAAGTATCTCAAAAGTTAATCTGTACATGAGCTGTTGAGAACCCAGAATGCAGTCCCCAGGGAAACTGTGGTATCAATGGTGAGCTGTATCTTAGCTCACAGTCTAGGTCATCTACAATGTTATAAAACGTATCGCAAGTCATTCCATTTCTCTTCATCTCACTCATCTTCATATTCCCTGGCTTAGAACATTCCAATCGCTTCCCATGATGCTTAGAAGAAAACCCAAACTCCTTACATGGCCTACAAGCCCTTGCAAGACGTAGCTCCTGCTTTCTGTCCATCTCTCCCATCTATCACTAAACTCTAGTCACCCTGGCCTAGGACAAGCCAAGCTTATCTCAGGCTCGGTGCTTTTGTGCCTGCTGTTCCCTCTGCCTGATCCCTCTTTCCTTAGCTCCTCCTATGCTCTTTCCTTCTCATCCCTCAGATCCCAGCTTAAACAGCTCTTCTAAGGCCATTCTGTGCAAAGTAGGTACCCCCTCCATTACTCTCCATCCCTGCATCCTGCTTATTTCCTTCACGGCCACAGCACCGTTCGAGGTTATCTAGTAAATCTGTTCACCGGGACACCCCCTTTCGCCACTAGTAGGTTAAGTCATGAGACCAGGGACCCTGATTGTCTTATCTCCATGAATCGTCTTGTTCCCCCTCGTACCTGCGAGACATCTATAATAGGGCCTGGCAAACAGCAGTGGTTCAATATTTGATGAAATTATGAATGAAATACTTTATAACTGCAACCAAAAGTTAGAGAAAACAAAACCACTGCAATACTTCTAAATAAAGGAAACAGAAAGCTGAAGTTGAATTAATATTTTAAACACAGCAGCAGTAGTGGTCACAACCCACACCTGCCTACTTACTATGAACTGAGCACTGCTCTGAATGCTTTCCACTCAATTTGTCTAATCTTCATATCCCTGTAGGAAAGTGCTACTATTAACCTCACACTAGAGATGAGGAGAAGGAGACTCAAAGACACTCGGGGCCACACAGCTAGACAGTGTAGAACTCAGCCTCTCCAACAACCCCTTAGAAAGAGGGTATGGAGGGTCATTTTTTTCTTTCTGCATGTCTGAAGATGTCTTTATTTTCCCTTCATGTTTGGTTGTTACTTCGTGGTTTGGGATAGAATCCTAGGTTGTAAATCACTTTCCCTCAGAATAACTGCACCATTGCCTTTTAGATAATAGTGTTGCTGCCAGGGAGTGTGCTGCCATCAGGGCTCATTCTGTAAGTGGCCTCCCTGAGATTTATTCTTTATCCCTGGTGTTCTGAAATTTCACAGGAATATACCTTAATGTGGATCTTTTTTCATTCCTTGCCTTGACTACTTGGTGAACCCTTTCAATCTGGAAACTTATTCCTGTAGTTTTGAGAAGCTGTCTCATCTTACTTTAATAATTCCAATCTACCCTTTCCTCTGTTCTCTTTTGGAAACTCCTATTAGTCAGATATTGGACTTCCTAAACGGCTTATCTAATTTTTTCAGGTTCTCCTTTTCTTTTTCTACCTCTTTATTTTTTAAATTTTGCTTATCTTATTTTTAATTTCCAAGAGCTCTCTCTTATTCTCTGATGTTGGTCTTATTTGCATTCTGTTCTGGTGTCATGGATGCAATCTCTTATCTCTGAAGGTAATTATAGGCTTTATTATTTTTTTTTAGGTTTTCTTCTGCTTCTTGAATCCATCTGTTTCTTCCAAGTTCCTTTTTACTTTTTGTTTGTTTTGGTCTGCCTTTCATGTTGGAAGCTTTCCTCAGATATCTGACTGGGGTACCTTGGCTCACTGTTCATATGTAAACGAGGAACTACAAAGCTGACAGGAAGCTCTAAACACAAGAGCAGAGCTTGTCCACTGGTGGCTTCACTACATGGTAGTTAGGAGAAGTCCCAACTTGTTAAAAGATGCTAAAACATCAACCTGCAGGCCTTTTCTCTGGGGCCGGTCAGTTTTCCCAGAAAAGGGTCCACCAAACTTCTGCTTAGTAGATCCTAAGCCTGGCTGCTATCATTCTGGGAGCCAAGTGGGAGGAAAGGGGAATGGGAGGGGATGAGTTTTCAATATGGCTTCCTACCACCATCTTGTGCTCATTATCTCAAAGTCTGATACTTTTCTAGTTAAACTGCTCCAGAGAATCAATTTTGCTTCTCTTGTCAGGATGGGAGGAGCAGTCACTTGGATGTGCATTTAAGGGAAATGGAGAATCTGATCATGACTTATACAGATAGATGTTCAACAAAAAGTCCTGTGACTTATATAGACGTTCAACAAAAAGTCCTGTTTTAGTCCTGCACACTTACCTCTACCTTCCAAAGTATCTTATGCATCTAACTCCTGAGCATTTCTGAAGCTGTGAGAAGTGAATCTCCTCCCTTGTCAGTGCATCCCTCTACAGACATAAAGGCATCAGCTTTTTGTGCTCTGCTAAAACAGTTATCACTCATTTATCTGCTCTCTGTCTTTCAAAAACATGTTGACATCCTTTATTATCTCTTATCTCCTCTCCTGTTCTCTTTGCCCTTGTGGGTCTATCAGTTTTTATTCTTTTGCTACCATTTTATTAAAGTTTAAGGAGGAAGTGAGGATAAACACATCAATCTACCACTTTTAATCAGTACTGAAGTGTCAGTGTCCCCCCAGCCCCCGAATGACTGCTCATTTATAGTCACTAATAATTGTGATCGCCAAGGGTTGTGTCTGGTTCACAAAAGAAAGAAATCCAAAGAAAGAAAAGGATGAATTTTTCTGAGGCATCTGAGCTAGAATTAGAACAAAGAGTAAAGAATTAAGAACAATATGGTGGAAAGAGGCCATATGTATCCATGAGAACAGAAAATACGAAGAATATATATAAACAAGCTGTGACTATCTAGTCAAACCAGGTAAGGGTTAAAGCTTAACAGTAGATTCAAATACCTGAGAGGGAAGGCAGCAGAGATATTGTATAACATTTCTTAGTTTCCTTCACGGACCATCAGGTGGCACTGTTGACCCAACACAGCTTTGTGACTATGTGTATAGCCAATGTGAAGGAAAGGAAGAGAGCTAGCTGTAGGTCGTTTCTCTATGTGAGTCACTGGTAAGGCTGTGTCCCTTGGAAAATGGCTTCAAGGAAATTTTGTACTGAAGAATTGTTATTAGACAAGAATGATACACTTGGAAAACCCGTAGGATAGATACCATAACCATACTAATTGATCCCAAATCTTAGTTATCATCTAGAATACTCCAGACTTCCTGAATCGGAATTTCTAGGAATGGAGCCCTGGAATCCATTTTTAATAGATTTCCCAGGGCTTCTGATGTATCTTTTAGTTTGAAAACAAGTGAATAAGAATACACTCCAAAAGTGATTCTGTATGGTTTTAAATACCCAAACACATTTGAGCAGTTGGGCACACTGACACAGGAGACTAGCTCTTGCTGCTGACAACATAAAGAATCTGTCCTCCAATATTAACAGTAATTCCTTGAGCTTGGTACTTTCCAAAGGCTTTTCAGTTTGTTGTTTTAAAGATGGAAATTTATTCTGTTGTAATTACATTCTTCCGAAATAGAAAAATGTCCTCCCTTTTAAAGCAGTTTTAGGTTTACAATAAAATTGAGTAGATAAGACAGAGATATTTACCAGAGATATTTAGCAAAAATATCTCACTTGAACATCACTAGCAACTACTCCTAGAATCGCTGTTAGCATGAAAGTCAGCATGGTATTTTCACGCAGTGATAGTTCTGTGTCCCTTCAGCTAACCATAGTCATACATACCGCTCTTGAACAGCTTTGTTGTAAGCCCCAGCATTCAGTGTTTTTCTGATCAAGTCACAGATGTGAGAGTGCTCTCCTGGGCACCGAGGGAGTCCAAAAACACCTAGAGTAGAAGACAAACATCCATCCCTTCAATAATCATGTATTGAATACCTATTATGTACAAGGCACTGTGAGAAACAAAAACAAACCAGAGCTTGACCCTGATCTCAGTCACATATTCTTCAAGAAAATAAAGTACCGAGCATTAATACTATAACCATCTTTCTCCTGGTACCACTCTTTTCTGCCTAAGGACTTTTGCACCTGCTTCTCCCAGGAGGATGTACAAACATACCTCAGAGGTACTGCAGGTTCAGTTCCAGATTACTGCAATAAAGTGAATGTTGCAATAAAGTGAGCCACACAAATGTTTTGGTTTCCCAGTGTTTATAAAACTTATGTTTATACTATCCTGTCATCTATTAAGTATGCAATAGAATTATGTCTAAAACAACAATGTATATACCTTCATTGAAAAATAACTTTAATGCTAAAAAATGCTAACCATCATCTGAGCCTTCAGCGAGTTGTAATTTTTTTGCTGATAGAGGGTCTTGCCCGGATGCTGATAAAAATGCATATCTGCGAAGCGCAAAAAAGCGAAGTGCAACAAAACGAGGTATGCTTGTACTTCTCTTGCTGCGTCAATGGCTGGACTCATTTGCATCCCCCAGGCCTTCGCTTCGAGAAGACATATCTGACTATCCTATCTCAAGTAGTGTCCAGCCCCATTTCTTTTCCCTCCCCCAGTTACACCTTCATCCTCACCATCCTCCTCAATAACATTTTGGGGGGGTGCCAGGCATATTTTAAGCATATATTGACAATAATTTAATCCTCACAACCATCCTGTAGAGTAGAAATCATTATTTGCCCCACATTACAGAACAGAAACTTTAAACAGAGATGTTCAAAACCTTGTCCAAGGTTAGACAATAAGTGATAGAGCCAGGAGATGAACACAGGAAGTTTGGGCTCCAGAGCCCACAGCTTTAACCAATACAACCATGATTCTATCCCTCAAGTATTAACCCATTTTTTTCTTTATCAAAGTTAACAACTGTCTATATTTATTGTTTGTTTACTTATTCCATATTTATTTTCCCGCTCCAACTAGAATGGCAGTTTCATGAATTCAGGGACCTTGTCTTATTCCTAGGATTTTTTTTGTGGAGGGCAGTGTCACCGGCCCTCATATGTGGGATCCGAACCTGGGCCCTCTGGCGTCCCAAGCCAGTTCTTAACCATCACGCCACTCGGCCGGCCCTTATTCCTAGGTTTTTAATAAATATTTTGAATGAATGAATGATAAAGATGTTTTTACCTACTTGTATTTGAATAATACTTGTACTTTTAGAAAGTATTTTCCTCCCTATTATTTCACTTCATTCTCTGAAAAATTCCCACAAGATTGGCGGAGCCTTATTTTAGTTTCCTTCATCTGTGAAAGGGACATAAGATACCAAACTACTTGCCCATCAGTAACAGTTAATTAGGTGAATCCGGTTTCCTGATTATAAGAAGAATCCTTCTGCCTCTACACTACACCAGCTAATAACTATATCCATCAGAACAGAGATAAAGTTCTATTCCAAAAACACATCCTTCCCCAAAACTAATAATTTTGTCTAAATAGAAAACCTGTTGTTTTTTGAGGGAAATTTAATCTCTACTATTAATTTTACAACAAGATTAGACACTATTCTTTGCCTAAGCCTAAATTCAGTAGGACATCACCAACGTCAGAAAACAGGAAAGGTTGTTCGACTTTCCAATTCCTCAACCACCACCTGCTGCGTGGCTGCAACCATCTCACCTCCAGGAAATCATGTTAATTAAACGGGAGAAGTAGATGGCAACCTAATGATTCACCTGTGTTGCAGGCCTCTGGAATCCTAAGTCTCTTCCTATTTCTTCAGGAATACTGGCTAGTTTGTTACACACTGAAAAAACAGGATTTTGCAAGGACGGCTAAATTCTTGTACAAACAGAGCTGCTAGCATTTTTAATTTTCTTTTATATTTTTTTATTTCATTTTTTTTTTGCAAAGATTTTTATTGAAGCGAAAGGACAGCTCTCTTATGAAAGGGGGTACCCAAAACTGGGGTGTCACTAGCATTTTTTAAAATCAAGTGATCATGTAAGTTAGAATAGAGAAAAAAACGGGACAAAGAGGCCAAAGTTACCTTGATGTTGTCCCCCAACTGAGATCAGATTGACCATGGGAGGTGAGGGGCATCTCTGAGCCACTGCCCTCCTGGGGAAACAAAGAAATTATCAGCTCCAACAGTCAGATGGAAATGTATTATCAACAATAAACTTCTCAGATTAACCTGCTTAATTCTCTGTGGTTCCCCAATGCCACAGAGTTTCAGGATTTTCTTCTGATATGGCCAAACACAAATCTTTACTCTTTCATAGAAAATGTTAAGTTCCATAAAGCTTTTTACATGGGGACATTTTAGAACAGTTTCCCTTCCAAGATAGGTGAAAATCCCAGAAGAATTTGAGGAGTGGATCTATCTGAATGAAAGAAAAAAAAATCATGCAAGTAGTGTGATATAACAGAAGGGAACTTACAGAAATTGGCCTCCCTGGGAGAATCCCATAGCATTGTAACCATGCTGCAATTTAGGATCCTTAGCAAGAATCTGACACACTGTTGTTACTTGGGAATTGACATTCAAGAAGAAGCTGTTCTTCACATCCTGAAAGAGGACCGACAGAGAAGTGAAAGGATGGGGCTGAAAACAACGGCTGGCATCTTCTCTAAGAGGAAAAATTGTTAGTATCCTTACATATGCGTAAGCCATTTAAGAGTTAAAATACAATTGTATGATTTGCTACTAAAAATACAAGGTAAAGCATTTTTATAGTGCATTCTATGAAATGAGTCAGCAAACCTTCAAAGGAACAGAGCTGTGAAGAGTCTTACCTCTATCAGGGTCTTCCCAATCTCTAGAGATAAGACGTAAATTCCTGGTATTTTATTCTCCACCATTTTTTTGATAGCACCCATGCTTAAGGGATTACAACAGCTGTCTCCTAGACAACAAACACAATGATGGGAACTCATGAATCAAAACATTTATTTTCTTAAAACTTTTGTGCTTCAAAGGACATTATCAAGAATGTGAAGAGACAACTACAGAACGGGAGAAAATATTTGCAAAACATATATCTGATAAAGGTTTAATATCCAGAACATACAAAGAACTCTTACAACTCAACAATAAGATAACCTAATTAAAAATGGAAAAAGGAAGGGCCAGCTGAGTGGTGCATTGGTTAAGAGTTGGCTTGGGACACCAGCTCTGAGCAGCAGGGCCCCGGCTGGGATCCCACATTAGGGCCAGTGACCCTGCGCCCTCTACAGGTAAGATGGTGAACAACAGCTCAACCTGGATCTGGGCTGCCATGAGTCCTCCACAAAGGCGTAGGCTGCAGTGGAGCTGCAGCGGGCTGCTGTAAGCTACTGTGAGTGGCTGGCAGCCAGCGTGAGCTGCCGTGAGCCGCCAATGAGTAGCCGTCCAGTGGCCAGCGACCGATCTGCCTCACCTGGGAAGAGCACAATGATAATACCAACATGGGCCAGTGAAGCCACGTCCTCCACAACTAGACTGAAGAACAAAATGACAGCAACTTGTCTGTTCCGCTTCCCTGGTTCCCCAATGCTGCTCCCCTCTCCCAATTCCCCAATAAAATCTTTAAAAAAACAAACAAAAAAAAGAGTGCGAGCTCTGAGCAACAGGGTTGCCAGTTTGATTCCCTGCCCGAGCTGCCAACAGGTGTCAGGATGGCTCAGCTGAAAAAAAAAAAAATGGAAAAAGTTCTTGAACAGACATATCTCCCAAGATGGTATACAAATGGCCAATAAGCACATGAAAAGATGTTCAACATCACTGGTCATTAAGGAAAT